AATTTAATTTAAATTTAATAACGAAATAATTTATTTTTGGTTTAATAATATAATATTTTATAAAGATAATAATTAAGTATTCTGTTAGAGCTCAATATTATCCTAATTATATTTTAGATTTTTTATATTTAAAATGAGATGTTTATCTTGTATTTGATTATGTTTATCTGTAGTTAGTTACACGAATTCATATATGGAGCTTTAATAAGTTGTRCTTACGCACAATCTACTTGCAATCTTRAGTTTTAAGTAATATGCATTAATAAACATTATTTTACACATAAAAAGTGATTTTAAGAGTTTTTGTCAAATGCTTTATAATATAGTATATATATATAGATAATCTATACTATCTTATAAAGCATATTTGTCAAAATCTTTAAAACAATCTTTGTTGCACTATGTACAATCTTTTATTGCACGATGTTGCTGTTGGTTGTAATAGTTTTGGGAATTTTTGAAATTACTATTAAAAAAGGTTGCAATTAAACAACATGCAAAACTCATACTATGGTAAGAAGTTTAATGTTTCATTAACATAATCATTTGATTTAAATGAAAACAAACATGATTTCAGAACCAATATAAAAGGATGTTTTCACTCCAATTCATCAATAACTATGAGGTTATTTACTAAATGTTTATTAGGTCATTTATTTTACTGGATGATTATGATAAGGGCCGAAAATTTTATCCCACAAGTGCAATGATAATGATACAGAGTCTTATATAATAAGTGATAAAGACGACTCTTACCCAGTAAGTACTTACCAAGTATATTGTTGTGTACAACATCGTTTTGACGAACTATGTACGATATTACCTGGTAAAGTAAATTAGAGTATTTTGCAGAGTGAAAGTAATTAGAGTATTTTCGTCCAAAAATGACATGTCATTCAAGGCTTTAAACAAAAAAAAAAAAATAGTTTATAGTTAAACTTAACTTTTGCTATGACAATTAATAAAGTTTAATGGTTGACAATTTTGAATACAAATGTTTATCCATAATCATTTACATTTATTCAAATTTCACATCCTGCCATATTGAACGGGTACACAACTAGTTTTATTAAAAGTTAATGAGATATTTTGTTGGGGTTTTCTGAATTTTTTTCGTTAATTTTATAGTTAATTACAAATTTATTTCTTATGGTTTAGTGGTTTTTACAAAATGATCTTTGAACTTCATTTATTACAGATTAGGACTCATGGTATGTTGTTGTAATTGATTGGTCCTTACTCTAAAGCCCATAGAATTCCTTTATTAACCTTGAGGGTATTTTCAATTTTTTTTTTTGTTTTTATCCAAAGAACCAATTTCGTAAAAACCACATTCACCAAATCCTTAATTAAGTCTAAAAAGTATTAATTTAAATTAATTAACTATTGATATTATATCATAAAGCATTTGACAAATACTTTTAAAAATCATTTTTATACATAAAATACTGTTTTTTGATACATGTTACTTAAAATTCGAGATTACAAGTAAATTGTGCGTAATTACAATTTATTAAAGCTTCATATTTGAATTCGTGCAACTAACTACAAATAAACAGAATCAACTACAAGATAAACATCTTATTTTAAATATAATTAATATAAAATATAATTAAAATAATCATTGAGTTACATTTGTAACAAAATACTTAATTATTATTCTTATAAAATTATATTACAAAACCAAAAATAAATTACTTTGTTATTAAACCTAAATTAAATTATAATAAAAACTTTGAATCAAAAAAATTACATAAATGAATGAGAATTCTTAAATAGTTAATTTCATACTAATATTGATATATATTTTTTCAAATTTTTATGAATATAAACATTATAGATTTCTCAAAATCACATAAAACTATATTATATCGACATAGATAAAAAATAAAACGAAACATTATTTTGATATATTTTGTTCCATTGCACGAATATTCTTCTAGTTATACTTTAATATATTAGTTTGTATACTTTAAGTTTATATCTAATATATAGTATACTTTCTTTAAAAAATATGTATTATGTATTTTAAAAAATGTATTTTTTATTAGAATTTTTAATTATGATAAAAGAAAATTAACCACATAATTAAGAGTAAAATAGCAAATTAAATATTATTTTTAAAAATAATACTTGTTTTAAAATAAATTAAAATAATTATATAATATTGAAAAAAATATATTTAAGAAGAAAAAAAAAATGAAATGAATCACGTAAAACAAAACTTTTTTGGTGTGGAAACAATTTAGGCAGGTCACCCAATACTCTCTCGTATGTGTGTATGTGGCCCCATCACGCTGCCCCACGTCGCACGCATTTCATCCACCTTGCATTCAATTCAGTGGCACATTTCGTAGTTTAACCCAACTTCAAGTCCCTTTTATTATCTCACTTTTTCAATTTTCCTATTTCATCCCTTCCATATCTCTCATGCGTCTGTGGTAGGATCGTAATTAAATCAAAAACCAAAGGCTTGATTCGAAAGTCCAGTTCAAACCCCAACATTATTTTATCCCTGGAAAAAGCACAAACGGTTCCGCTTCTTCGCTTCTATAAAATCGCACCCTCGTACCTGTTCTCGACATAACTTCCCATCTCCACCAACACTTTCTCTCTCTTAGGGTTTTCAAACATTCACCACCGGAAAATGGCGACGGAAGCTACTAACGGTGCAGCGGCCGCCGAGATCAACGGAGCGCCCGCGGAGAAGGCAGTCACGTTCTCGTCCTTGAAACCGCAGTTGTTCGTGGAGTCGTCAAAGGCCACCGATGCCGTTGCGTTCTACAAAGCTGCGTTTGGAGCCGAGGAGGTGAATCGCGTGAGTCATCCCAAGCGGAAGGCTGATCAGGAGCTTCCGATACTTCTATCCGCTGAGATCAAGCTTGGTAACTCTAGTATTCTCATTTCTGACCTCACTGACGATTGTACAGCCCCGTAAGTGTTATGTTTTGTGTTTTTTTTAATATTATCAAGCGCTATTGTCTGTTGATATGCCATACATTTTTAAGATCTGCTTTTATTGAAGGTTCTATGTGGATTTTATCTGTTTTATTGAGTTTGTATCATTTTTAGGTTTGTTTTTATGCTGATCTGTTTATGAAGTGTGCACAGATGTTCCGTTTTTATGTTAGAATCTATTTATTTTTCCAATATTTTCTTATAATTTTAAATGTATGTGGCTCTTCGTTTGTTGTCATTTCTAGGTTCTCTCTCTGCATTTAATTATTCCTTCAAACCAAATCATTTGGTTAGATTTATCTTCATCTTATATGTTATTATACTTTACTGAGTTTAGATTCAAACAGATCTCTGGTAAAGTTATGATTGCGATGGTTTTTTTGGAGTCATTTTTGTTTTTGGTTCAGTTATTTCTTCGTCCTGTAAACGCTTTTTGCTTCTTATAATAAGTGATGCGGTTTCCCAACTCCTTTGGATAAGCTGTTTTTAATTTTGTTTTTTACTTCCTTTTTTATACTCTATTTTGTCTATTTATCTTCAGTGTTATATGTATATTGTATTTTATTGGTTGTCGACTCGCGTGTTTCTTTTATTTCCCTCGACGTGAAAAAAACAAAAATCTATTTCTGGTTTTACAACGGATGTATAAAGTCTTTAAACCAAAATTTTTGAATTTTTTATGCGAACCTAATATTTCGTTAATCTCTATATGATATATTTTGTAGTTTTTCTTTGTTTGCTATATTTATTCAGTTTGTTAATGATATTATCTGATTTTCAATCTTGAATATTTATATGCACAGCGTTAAATCAGTGGGTACGGGTCTGGTGTTCTGCCTGGAGACTGAAGACATTGAAGGTGCTGTGGACAAGGCAATAAAGGCTGGTGCGGTTGCCGAGGGTGAGATTAGCGAGGGTGAAGGCGCGTGCTGTGGTGGGCGCGTGGGTAAGGTGAAGGACCCATATGGCATTGTCTGGCTCATCTGCACTCCTGCTAAAAAGTGTGTTAACGTGGAAGCATAGACGACGTCGGATTCACAGCGTTTCTAATTTGCTGTTTGTCTTTATGATCTTTCCTTTAATTAATTAGTAAGCTTTTTTATTCGGTGAACACTGCATGTTTACAATCACTAGTTGCAGTAAATGGATAGGATTATGAGCGGTGTCGATTGGTATTTTGATATCTGAACAATGGATTATGGCACTTTTTAACCAACAGATGACACAATCTTATCTCAATATTTTCTGTGTGCTTTTTAATTAGTTGTTATATAGCAATTACTCAACTCCTGTGGATATAATATAATATATTAAATGGGTGTCGTTGAAGCCATGAGGAGGTGTTTTGCACGCGTTCAAAATACGTTTGACGCGCGACTGCATTTAGGCGACAATTATGGGTTTTGAAGAATACTGTAAAATAATAGCGGTCCCCATGCGTGTATGGATATAGGACGTTAGCACGGGATTCGGCAACCGTCGGTCTTGGTCTTTTATAAACAATAACTTTTTTATTCAAGGATACAAGAACAATAATAATTTGGTCATTATTTATAGCCTATTTGTGAGAAGGGCAAAGTGGCCCCAGCTCATATAAAGGGCCTGGACCAAACCAGGACTGGGTGCAGCTGATAAAATAGAGATGGTCGAGTAGGGGCCCAGGGACTGTTTGAATCGGTAGGTGTTGGTTGAGACTCGACGGTTCGGGATTGGGTTACAAGATGTCTTGGTATTCAAGACTAAAGAGTTGTTTACCCAAATACTTATCCGGTAAGCGTTTATCAATAGTAGTTAATACTATAATTTATTTTGATGCGTAAGATTTTAGTACATCAAAACATATCGAATGCAACAATTTACTGGGTAAGTGTTTAACTGGGTAAGTGTCTTTATTCTCACTTATCAGGTAAGACTTTCCATCTTTCTGATCACTCTTACCCGGTGAGATTCTTGGCTCTTTTCATGTTTATCCAATGAGAAAATGTATATGTTAAGCATTTACCAAGTAAATATTTAGTAAACGGCCCCCTAGGCTTAAGTTCGGGAAGGAGACTCTTAATGATTAGAGAGCAATTTTCTTTTTCTAATTTCAAGATTATTTACGAAGATATAACTTTTAAATTATATTTCAATATCAATTTTAAAAATTGTGTAAAAAATGTTTTTAACATAACCTATTAACCTCTTATTGTGAAAACAATAAAAATTAAAAGATTTTTTAAATTAAAAATGAAATTAAAACAATTCAAAAAAATTTGAGAGGCAAAAAGGTAACATGGAAATTCAAAGTGATAAAATTTTAAAAATACGATCACACTAAACCCAATAATCTGGATAACATAATGGGCTATTATGGTTATCACTTATTTCAACACGATTTGGTGTGATACGAGTGTGATAATCATGTGATTATCACACAATTATCACAAGGATTCCGTTCGGTTAGGGTTAACTTAGAAAATCGACTAACTATTTGATGTGATATGGGTGTGATAATCATGCGATATCACTATCATAACAGCGTACTCGATTTGATCATGGTTTCGATCGGTTAGGGTTAGAAATCACACATTTATCACAACGATTACTCATGGTTTCGATAGGTTAGGATTAGACAATCACACATTTATCACAACGATTATCGGCGAAATCCATTAAACGATTTAGTGTGATAATAATGTGATATCACTATTATAACATCACTTGCGCACTCAATTGGATCATGGTTTCGATCGGTTAGGTTAGACAATCACACATTTATCACAACGATCACTTATGGTTTCGATAGGTTATGGTTACACTCGATTGATCATGGGTTCGATAGTTTATGGTTACACAATCACACAATTATCAAAAGGGAAGAGAAGATAATGGAAACGAACGTGATCAATCCAAGAAAAAAAGGGATAATTATAATTAATTAAAATAAAATAAAAATTATAAAATTTACTTAATTACATTACTGGCCTTATTAATTTATTTATATTTAATATAAGTTGATTTATTAATTAAAAAAGTTTGAGGTTATTAGGTTGTTCTTGCGTCTCGTAAATCACATGGATTCTCGTTTGAACCTACACACACACACACACATATATATATATATATATATATATTGTACGAAAAACGATTGAGTATGACGTGGTTTCTCTTGAAAACTAAAAACTCAATTATCTTTTTCTCCTTCACTTCCTTTAACCCTTTTTTGTTCTAATTTTCCACTTTAATTTCCCATCAATATTGATTGGTAATTTATGTTTGCATTTAACGTCGTTCCTTTCGTTTTTCCTAACTCCTCACCATCTCCCAATTGTTTCGTTTTTCTCGAGTTTATGGTTCTCTCCATATATCAAATCGAATTCTCCATCAAAACGGAATTAACAACCTTCATGTTTTATCGAGTTTGTATAGGTTATGTCGTTTCACTTTTGTAGAATTTACTTCCCAGTTATCTGTACTTGTTCATCCTACATAAATTTTCAAGGTAACATCATCATGAATTTGTGAAATTTTTAGTTTCCATTTCTTTTATGTTTAAATTCAATACGTCTTTCATCGTAAATTGTATGCCCCAAAATTAATTCAAATCAAACGTCTGACACGTAAGGTCTTAACATATTATCACAAACATATCAAAATGGAATCAACAACTAACATGTTTTATTAAGTTTGTAAGTATTTTGTTGTTTTTCTTGTGTATAATTTCTTTCCGGCCTGTACCATTGTCCATCGTACATAAATCTTCTACGTAACACTTATGTTTAACATTATACTTTTTGTGAGTTATATGTTGTTGATATATATATATATATATATATGTGTGTGTGTGTGTGTGTGTGTGTGTGTTCCTTTCTGATCGGTACCATTGTTTTTTCTTCATAAAGAGTTTCCATACAACTTCTTATATTTTGTGTCTATTATATAGTGTTGTTAATATGTTTTTGGTTTTTTATTTGAATATTATTTACAATTGTTACCTTTGTTTTTTTTCTCTCTTATACTTTCTAATTGATTTTTATATTGGTATCATAATTGTTCTTCTTCCGTCAAAATTCTTAAATAATTTTTATGCTTGCGTTTAATTGTATGTGTGTGTATAATAATAAACTGATTATAATAAAGAACAACCACATCCAATGATGTGGCACAATGGTGTAGTACGAATTGTGACTATAAATTTTCTCAAAAATTTGATTTTTTTAAAACGTTTAATATGTAGATGACTTCTCCACCTGAGCCACAACCTTGCATTATTAGGGATCGAGGTAAAAACATATCGTCTGTCCTACACGGTTTGCTGAGGTTGAGGTGGTAACATGTACATTTAGTGTCGCCTTCGATATAGAGTCGGTTAAGAATCCATCCATGTATAGTGAAGCAGTTGATTATGAAGATTCATAATAGTGGATTATGGTAGTGCATGATGAAATGGAGACCTTACACAAAAAATGGTACTCAAGAGCTCTCTTCCTCTTCCCAATGGTAAAAGGGTAATGAAGTGAAAATAGATCTACAAGAAGAAGGGATACCAGATGTAGAGCCTGCCAGATACAAGGTTTGGCTTGTGGTGAAGGTATTTGGTCAGATTCCAAGTATTGACTTAACGAATATTTTTTCACCAGTAGTCAAACATTCTTATATACGTGCATTATTGACCTTAGTCATTGAATGACTTTGATCTTGAGAGTTAGATATTAAAACTGCATTTCTACACGGATCAACCTCAAGGTTTTGTGAGTGTTGGTCATGAAGATTTGGTGTGTAGGCTAAAGAAGTCGTTATATGAGCTAAAGCCATCGACAAGGCAATGATAGAAAAGGTTTGATACTTTTATGATTTTATATGGTTTTTCATGTTGTTTATATGATAGTTTTGTTTAAATAAGGAGATGTGAAGATGGTTCGTTTGTGTGCCTTGTGATTAGAGGGACAGAGAGAAGAAGTATTCTTATTTACTGAATAATAATTACAAAGGAGAGGCGTGTATATATATAGACACAAATAAGAAACCCAAACCCAAAT